GGAATCCCAGATGGCTGCAGCCTCAGGGAATTCCTGACAATCCCTGGAGACACAGGAATGCCAGCAAATACTGATGGCCACGTTTTCCATGGAGTCCTGCAAAGGGCTATGTCTCTTCCTGTGGAGGGATCTGAAATTCCACCCAGTGCCACCCCTGCCACGGCAGGGACACCTCCCACTGTCCCAGGCTGCTCCCAGCCCTGTGCAGCCTGGCCTGGGACACTGCAGGGATGCAGAGTCCAGAGCCTGCCAGGGAAACCTGGATTCTATCAGCCAGGGAGAAGCAGAAAGACAGGAAGAGAAAACTGAGTCAAATCCAGCATTTTCTGGCAGACCCAGCAATGTCACCGGAACCACGGATCCTGAAATGTCAAATCTTCTGCTCTGACTTCCTCCATATGTATGAACACACAGAAACAATTACAAAATCAAATCCACATTCTAATTACCTGAAGGCTGTTCCAGCAGTGTCCTGTGCCCCTCAGCCCAGGCCAGCTTAGGCCTGTGCCCATAGACTGTCCCTGTGTGCTGGGCAGCTGCCCTGGCTGCAGGGGGCTCATCCCCCAGAGCCAGCACCTGGGCCAGGATCCCTGCAGCAGGAGCATCCTCTGAGCCTGCACAGAGAGAGCAGAGTGAGTAAAACAGCAACCAGGGACAGCAGACACACAAATCCCACAGTGAACCAGTGTTGAAGACTGCAATGCAAGATGTTTTCCATTACCATCTGTATGGCAGGTCATCTTTTGTCAAGTGGGCAGTTTGTTCTATCTCTCTCTTTGAGTGACCACATTCACACCTCCCTCTAGAGAGGACAACTGCTGATAACAGCTATTGAATGTCCCTGCATGGCTGATAAGAACTACAACATCCCATTGGGAGATGTGAGCCCAGAGGGAGGAGCCAAGCATTCCTACCCAGATATAATCCAGAGGTTTTCGAGACACCAGCACGGCTTCTCCACGGGATTCCCCAGAGGAACAGCAGCTGCCTGTCCTTCCACTGGATCTTCAGAGGAAGAATACATCCTTCTTTACAGATCCCCCTTGCTCCAACAGAACCACCCCTGACACTGCAGGAGGGCTGCAGCCACAATTCCAATGGGACTGCTACCAACACCCTGACCCACAGGGTGTCAGGTTGGGTTCTGACTCTGTCAGTGTTGTTCTAGTGTACAGCATTGTTTATTTCATCCTTTTATGGTTTTTTTTCTTTTCCCTATTAAAGAACTGTTATTTCCTGCTCCAATATTCTTGCCTGAGAGCCCCTTAATTTAAAATTCAGAGAGGTGGGGAGGGTTCACATTCTCCATTTCAGGGGAGGCTCCTGCCTTCCTTAGCAGACTCCTGTCTGTCCAAACCAAGACAACCAGCAATCAGGAGCCCTGGCAGTGCCCCAGGCAAGGCTGGATGGGGCTTGGAGAAGCCTGGCACAGTGGGAGGTGTCCCTGCCATGGCAGGGAGGAATGGGATGATCTTTAAAGTCCTTCCAACCCAACCATTCCATGACTCCATGATCCTATCCCTGTCACAAGATTACAAACCTAGAACTGTCCCCACCAATTTCTCATCCCTGCCAACCCCACCTGGTTACACCCCATGGATTTCCTGCACTCCATTCCTCAGCTGCTCCCCCTGAGCTGAGCCCTGGGTGCAGCAGGGACTGGGAAAAACAAAATGTATTTTTCCATCCTGCTGTACGTTCTCCTAGAACCTTGTGCTGCTTCATTTGCATAGTGAATTTTTATATATGGCATCATCATTTCTGCAAAACAACAGATTTGCATCACATTTGTTTCTCTCATTTTGGACACGATTCCCCAGATAAACTTGAAAAAGGTCAAGAGCAGGAACACCTAAACCATGGCCAGCACAATTTGTGGCTGCAGTGATTGATCTGGGCACTGTTGGATCAGCCTGAGCCCTTGGTCACCACTGTGCAATTCAGAAACTGGAATGTCTAACATGAGTTTTTTCTACAGACCAAACTCTGGATGTTAAAAAGCTCTGAGTGAAATCAACCTGCAAATAAAACCTGTGATAACCTGTAATAAAAACCTGGTGAAAACCTGTACTAAACCCAGTGGTCCATGCTTTGCAGGAAGAGTGGCAGAGCTCTGCAAGGATGCCAAGTGAGCAGCGATTCCCAGAGCAAAGCAAGGGATGCTCAGGCTGTGAACACTGAGTTCTGCTCCTTTTCACTGCCAGAGTGGAAAAGATCCCCCTTGCACCCCAGAAGGAAAGCAGAGCCTGCAGGCAGGAGCTGCCCTCATGGCTCACAGGTAATTCAGCACAGAACACCCATCCAGCCTGGACAGGGGTGCAGTACCTGAGTGGGAGCTGGCTGTGCTGGGCTCCACGCTGGCTCCTGCTCTCTGGAAAGGCACATAGTACATGCCAGAGCTTCCTGAGGGCTTGTAGGGCAGCAGCAGGGGCTGGGCTGGGGGGACAAGGCAAACAGTGAGCAGCAGCCAGGCTGGAAACCCCTCATGCAGCAGGGCAGCGCCTGGGCAAGCTGCTCAGGGTGCTCCTGCTGCTACAGCCTGAGGAATAACCTGTTCTTCAGCAACAGGGATTGCTATTTCATTAGCTAAATTAAATTAAATTGCTATTTCATTAGCTAAATTAAATTAATTGGATTTTTTAATCCCCACCCACAAGTAGAAGGTTACCATCCCTTACCTGGAAAAACAGCTTCTCCTATTCAATATTAAAAATGTGATCAGGGTGGCAAACAGTGACTTACAGAAACATCTCCTGTACCCACAGAGCTCCCAGCTGATCCCAGCCTGAGGGAATCACTTTAAAGGAGCAGGGATGTGTCCTTCAAGTCTATAAAAGCAACAACAGAGCCCCAGTACCACACACCACTGGGGTGGGAAACCCTGTGAACATCCACATCCCCCTGCTGACAGACACCCCAAACCCTGCAGTTTGCTGTTTTATTCTAGTAAAAGCAGCAATGTGCACATTTCCCTCTGATTTTTTGGTGCTATCTTGACTAGAGAGTAAATCAGTAATGAGACCCAGCTCTCACTGAACTCCAAGTGAACCAAATCAAACCATCTACAAACAAACACCAAAAAATATTCTCCAACCACACTTGGACACAAAGGATTCAATTCTAGAGAAACCTGAACTGAATCCCAACTGTTTCCACACAAACCCCCCCTGACAGGGCTGAAAAACACAAGTTTAAGGGTTGAGCAACTTCAAATACCCCAATTATCTCAAGGATGTTATTTCCATAAAAAAGCTGGGTTTGGTTTTGGGCTTTCACATTTATCAGTACCCTGACCTTGGGCAGATTCAAGTGCACAGACACCTGTAAGACAGGAATTTGCTCACCAGGCTGCCTTGGGAAGGGAGGAATCTCTGTGTGGGATGGAGCTGCAGTCCCAGGAGCTTCGGGGGCCTTGTGGGGTGGAGCTGCAGTCCCAGGAGCTTCGGGGGCCTTGTGGGGTGGAGCTGCAGTCCCAGAAGCTTCAGGGGCCTTATGGGGTGGAGCTGCAGTCCCAGGAGCTTCGGGGGCCTTGTGGGGTGGAGCTGCAATCCCAGGAGCTTCAGGAGCACTGGGGAGCGATGGATGCAGGGCAGCACTTCCCCCCTCGTGGGGATCCACACAGATTTCTGCTGAGAACGTGGCTTTGGTGGGACTCTCCGTGGTGATCTGGGTGGCAGCATCAGAAGTCCTTCTGGCAGGTGTGGCAGAGCTGGGGATGCCCTGTGTGAGCCGGACTCTGGCCCTGCCCTGCAGCTCCTGCCTGGGGGAAAGCAGCTGGCTGGGACCTGGCACAGGCTCAGCTGGGCTGGGAATGCCCTCAGCACGAGGGGATTTAGGAACACCTCCCACTGAAGATTCTGGAGCTGCTTGTAAAGCCACTGTCTGAGCCTTCCCTGGTGGTTTGCCCCACACCTTGATCCCATTCCCAGCACTGCTGGCACTGGGGTGATGGACCCTGGAGGAGAGGGTGATGTGCACACAGCTCAGGAATCTCTTCACTGGTGATGAGGGAGCCTCAGGTGTGGTGCATAAAGCCTCATCTGCAGGTAAAGGGTGAGCAGGACCCATCTGCCCCCTCACAGCCCCTCCTGGAATGGTGGACAAAGCTTCATCTGCAGGTGAAGGGTGAGCAGGACCCATCTGCCCCCTCACAGCCCCTCCTGGAATGGTGGACAAAGCTTCATCTGCAGGTGAAGGGTGAGCTGGACCCATCTGCTCCCTCACAGCCTCTTCTGGAATGGTGGACAAAGCTTCATCTGCAGGTGAAGGGTGAGCAGGACCCCTCTGCTCCCTCACAGCCCCTCCTGGAATGGTGGACAAAGCTTCATCTGCAGGTGAAGGGTGAGCAGGACCCCTCTGCTCCCTCACAGCCTCTTCTGGAATGGTGGACAAAGCTTCATCTGCAGGTGAAGGGTGAGCAGGACCCCTCTGCTCCCTCACAGCCCCTCCTGGAATGGTGGACAAAGCTTCATCTGCAGGTGAAGGGTGAGCAGGACCCCTCTGCTCCCTCACAGCCCCTCCTGGAATGGTGGACAAAGCTTCATCTGCAGGTGAAGGGTGAGCAGGACCCATCTGCTCCCTCACAGCCTCTTCTGGAACCAGAGGTGGCTCCTCAGGGCTTTTCCTCCCCTCAGCCAACACCTCACTGGGGCTCTTCAGCAAACCCCTTTGTGCAGGTGCTCCTGGGCCCTCTGAGCTCTCCCTGAGCTGGCTGTGCCCAGGTGGGATCTCCCTGAGCTGGGTGTGCCCAGGTGAGATCTCCCGGGGCTGGGTGTGCCCAGGTGGGATCTCCTGGAGCTGGGTGTGCCCAGGTGGGATCTCCCTGAGCTGGCTGTGCCCAGGTGGCATCTCCCTGAGCTGGCTGTGCCCAGGTGGGATCTCCTCCTGCAGGGATGGGCTCAGAGCAGAGGGTTCAATGGATGGCTTTGTTTCCTGGCTGAGCTCCCTGGCACCGTGTCTGTGCCCCACAGCTGCAGGCAGGAGCTGGGGCTGCCTGGCACTCAGGGTCTGTCCCTTCCCAGCCTGGATGCTCCTGGGCTGCTGGGCTGGTTCCTGAGGAGCTGCAGCCCTGGCAGCAGGGGCAGGAGGAGCCTCAGCAGCAGCACCCCCAGCTCTGTGCCAGGGCTCTGTGCCCAGCCTGTGCTGCCCAGGCAGGACGCTGGCCAGGCTGGGGTTGTGTGCCAGGCTCTGGGAGCAGAGGATGAGGGCAGGGGGGGCAGCTGCAGGGCTCCCTGCACGGGGGGACTGTGCCAGAGGGGCACGGGGCTCTGCCCTGGCACTGGGGTGCCCCATGGCTGCGTGCTGGGTGTGCACTTGCAGCTCAGCAGTGTTCCAGGGCTTTAGGTGCATCGCCTGCAGGTCAGCAGCACTGCAGGGCTTCAGGTACACATCCTGCAGGTCAGCAGTGTCCCAGGGCTTCAGCTGCATCTTCTGTGGCTCAGCAGCATTGCAGGGCTTCAGCTGCATGTCCTTTAGGTCAGCAGCACTAGAAGGTTTCAGCTGCACATCCTGCAGGTCAGCAGTGTTCCAGGACTTCAGGTCAGCAGCACTGTAGAGCTTCAGCTGCATGTCCTTTAGGTCAGCAGTGTTCCAGGGCTTCAGGTGCATCTTCTGTGGCTCAGCAGCACTGCAGGGCTTCAGCTGCACGTCCTGCAGGTCAGCAGTGTTCCAGGGCTTCAGGTGCATGTCTTTCAGGTCAGCAGCACCAGAAGGTTTCAGGTGCACATCCTGCAGGTCAGCAGCACTGTAGAGCTTCAGCTGCATGTCCTTTAGGTCAGCAGTGTTCCAGGGCTTCAGCTGCATCTCCTGTGGCTCAGCAGCACTGCAGGGCTTCAGGTGCACATCCTGCAGGTCAGCAGCACCCCAAGGTTTCAGCTGCACATCCTGCAGGTCAGCAGCTCCCCAGGGCTTCAACTGCACATCCTGCAGGTCAGCAGCATTGCAGGGCTTCAGCTGCATGTCCTGCAGGTCAGCAGCACCCCAGGGCTTCAACTGCACATCCTGCAGGTCAGCAGCATTGCAGGGCTTCAGCTGCATGTCCTGCAGGTCAGCAGCACCCCAGGGCTTCAACTGCACATCCTGCAGGTCAGCAGCATTGCAGGGCTTCAGCTGCATGTCCTGCAGGTCAGCAGCATTGCAGGGCTTCAGCTGCATGTCCTGCAGGTCAGCAGCACCCCAGGGCTTCAACTGCACATCCTGTAGGTCAGCAGCATTGCAGGGCTTCAGCTGCATGTCCTGCAGGTCAGCAGCACTGTAGAGCTTCCGCTGCACATCCTGCAGGTCAGCAACACCAGAAGGTTTCAGCTGCACATCCTGCAGGTCAGCAGCACCCCAAGGTTTCAGGTGCATGTCCTTCAGCAGGGAGGAATGCCAGGGACCAGCTCTAGGGAATGGTGCTGCTGGTGGTGAGCGGGGCTGGAGGAGTTCCCAGGTCCTGGAGAGCTGTCCATGCCTGTCCCTGGGACACCTGGGACCCTGCACACCCTCCAGGTCCTGCTCCTGCTTCCTCAAGTACTCAGAAGTTGCTTCCAAACCACAGAGCCAGGGATCCTGAAAAACAGAGCACAGTTCAGAGGTCATGTGAAGAACATCCCACCTGGCCAAACCTGGATGGGAAAAGCCAAGGATGAGAGTGTCACCAACCAAGAGTTTGTCACCAGGAAGGGAGCGAGCCCAGCTGGTAAGGAACTAATTAAACTTTACCCTTTCTAAGTGCCAAGTCACCGTTCCACTAATGGCAAAATTAATTCTGATGTGTTTGCCCCATTAGTATCTGTAGGGAGTACAGCTCTTCCTTAAAGGGTTCCTAAACGGTTTCAATTATTCTTCCATCAATTTTGGAAAGTGTAAGTTAATGGATTAAATATCAGCACTGTTACTGGCTCATACCACACACAACCAATGGCCTTACCATTTAAAAACAAATTTAACAGGTTTATGAAAGGGTAATTTGTTTCGAAGACATTCCTTTATCAGCAGCATCATGAAATTAAATGTATAAAATTAATATTACATAATTAAAAGCTGCGATGATGTGGTTCTTTTCAAAAATGTGATTAATCCATTCTGCCCTTCAGTTCTGGTCTGGTTTGGGGCAGGGTCAGGGCTGGGGAATGCTGGCAAGGAAGAGGACACAGACACAATTCCATGGGGATCCAACCCTCCCACCCCATGTCCCCATGTGTCTGTGGGGTTCAGGCCACCACCCTCCTGTGCCCAGAACCCCTGAAGTGGCCTCAGGCTGCACCAGAGGACATTTAGGAAGGATCTTAGGGAAAATCTCTGCCTGGAAAGGGCTAGCAGGCACTGGAACAGGGAGCTGGTGGTGTCACCACCCCTGGAACTGCACAGAAATGTGTGGATGAGGCACGTGAGGACACTCTGGTGCTGAGCATGGTGGGGCTGGTTCATGGCTGGACTCAATGATCCTGGAGGTTTTCTGCAGCCTGAATGATTCCATGATTCCAACCACCAACATAAATTTATTCATTCAAGTGTAACCCAAAATTCCAACACTTCCACTGAAGAGAGTAAATCTGAGAGAAATGTGCTGCCATGGAGATGGGCCAGATAAGCTGAATTAGAGAAAAAAAGACACAAAAATCTAGGTTATATTTACTTTTTCCTACTGATTGGGCCAACTGTGGAAGCAGCAGAATGTATTCCAGTCATGAATCAACCACGGGTCCCTGGGTGATTATATCCCCAACAACCACTGGGAATTTGGCAACAAAAAGCAGTGGGAAACATTTTTGGTGTAAACCAAACCTACAAACAACTATTTCACAAGAGCTTTCCCAGCCTTTCTCCATCCCAGCTGTCCTGACAGCAGCATCTACTCCAGCAGGGCCTGGATCACTATCCCACTTCTCTATTCCTTTATGGGTTTTACAGCAATAAATGGGATTATTTGGCATTTCCTGCAGCCAGGAGGGCCTGTGGGAGAGCCCAGGGACAGGGAGCAGAGCTGAGCCAGCACAAGGATGATCCCAAAGCTTCTCCTCCCTGCACCACGTGCCAGTTCAACGGCCTGAGGTAATCCAGAGCAACTCCCACCCGCGAGAGCAGGCACAGAAGTTGCGATAAACTCATCTTCCCAAGCCTTTCACATGTTTTATTGTGCCTGTTATGTGTCATCCTTCCAAAAAAGCTCCCTGTGCCATATGATCCACAGGAGCCTGCAGAGCAAATTTAGAGCTACAACTCCGTGAACTTCCTGGAGAAGCGAGAAGGCTCAGGGAGTGGAAAAGTACAGCAGGGAGTGGAGGGAAACACTGCACCAAGGGGGGAGGAACTCACAGGGCAGGGAACAGGGGGCACTGGCACCCTGAAATACAGGTGGGGAGATCAGCTTCTCAATTTAGGAGGAAAATCCTGAGGCTGAAGGTGCTGGAATTGTGTTTGCATCCAACAGCAGCTCCAAACCTGCCATGGCAGAGACACCTCCCACTGTCCCAGGTGGATCCAGCCCCAGTGTCCAACCTGGCCTTGGACACTGCCAGGGATCCAGGGATTCTCTGGGAATTCCAGCCCAGCCCCTGCCCACCCTCCCAGCCAGGAATTCCTTGCCAAGATCCCAGCCCAATCTCCCCTTTCCCAGTGGGAGCCATTCCCTGGCTCCTGTCCCTGCAGGCCTTGTCCCCAGTCCCTCTCCAGCTCTCCTGGAGCCCCTTCAGGGACTCTGAGGATTCCCTGGATTTTTCCCTTCTCCAGGGGCACATTCCCAGCTCTGCCAGCCTGGCTCCATGTTGAATATTCCAGGGGTTTGGAGCCCTCCAGAGCACTCGAGCTGTGTCTGCAGCCCCTTGCTGTGCCCACCCCAGGCCCCTCCTGAACCCTCTGCTCAGGCTGACGTGGGAAACCCACAGGAAAGACGGAAAATCTTCCCAAATAAAATATCCCAGAGATGTTCCCCAGTGTCCTGCTCCTTTCCCTGCCCACAGAATTCACACACTTCCATGGCAAACAGGGAAATGCCAGGAAAATCCAGTGGCACCTGAATTCCTGCAGCTGTCACCTCTGGAAGGGAGAGGCAGAGCCTGAACATTCCCAAAGAACATCCCCAGACCTGCCCCACACCAGAGCCTGCAGCCGTTGTTTGCTCGAGCTGTAGGAACAGTTTGTCTTTCTCAGCATTAAAAGTTTAGGAGAAGGAAAATGTCTTCCCCTAATCTTTGTTCTGTTCTTTTTAACTCCATGCAAGGCACTTTGGCTCTAAGACTTCCCCCCTTATTGTACACAATAGTTCCCATTAAATTTACAGGAGCATATTTTGCCTGGCTGTGGTTTTTTTCAGTGCAATAGTTTTGAACAATCTGTGTTTTTCAGTGACAGTGTTTGTCTTGGAGGGAACAGCACATTTATCTTAAGTACAATAAAAAAACCCAGTGACCTTCACTCTGCAAATTCAAACCTTTTTTATCTCAAATTAAAAACATTGCAGTGCAAAAGTATTTTCAAATCAAAGCACGAGGTGCTGTGGTTCAACTAAAGCAATTTCTTGGAGCTTGGTTGCAAAATTATGGTGAATTTCTTCTTACTCTAAATGGGGAGAAAACAATCCCCAGCTGACACTGAGTCACAGAAAGGTAAAATCCTTGGTTCCACACTGCACAGAGTTCCTTCCAGGGACCAAGCTGTGACCAAAATAATCTAAAAGCTGGGGGGAAAAGCTTTGATGCCTCTGGTTTTGTATTTGTGTTTTGCTTCTGTTTTAAAAAAAAATATTAATTTTAAGAAATCTTAATTTCTAAAATATTAAATAATATCTATAATACTATTATATATTTCATATTATATAAATATACTATATAATATTATATCTTTTTATATAATATAAATTTTATATATTATTTTAAAGATATTATACTATATTTATAATTTATTTCTATAATAATTATTAATAAAATAGTCACTTTCTTTTCCCCCAGCTGCCCAGAGATTCCACCAGTCTGGGAATACCTGGGAAGTTTGGCCTGATGGCTTTTGGGAGCTGCTGTGTCCCCTCCCAGCACTGCTGATGCAGAGAAGCTGAGAACACAGAGTACTCCTAAAGCACTGACTGTCACTCCTGCTAATGCAGGGCTGTTAATTAAAACAAACAAACCAACCCCTGCTGCTTTTCCTGGGAGGCAAGCAGGCTGCAGGAGAAAACAGGGGGAAAATCAAGGGAAAAATAAAGAGGAAGCTCTTGCTAAAGCTCAAGGCACTTGTCTGAACCACCAATCCCTAAAAGCCTTGCCCTAATCACCCTGGAGAGGACAGCAGTGCCAGAAGTGGCATTTAGAGTGAAAACAGAGGTAACACACTCCTGCTCAGACCAATTCCAGCCCAGACATGCAATTTATAATGAACAAGAAACACTCCAAAGGAGATGCACCAACCATGGCAGCTCCAGGGCTCGTTCTCCCAGAGAATTAGAGATGCAGAGCCTGAACCTCCTCAGCCCTGAGCTCTGACCCAGCACAGACATCAATCATCAGGTTTCCACAGACACTTCCCAGCTCCAGGGAGAGTATCCTGTGACCAGCACTCCCTGGTTTCCCCTGGCATCCTCACCTGCAGGAGCCTGGAGCAGCCCCTTCCCTTCCCTTCCCTCTTCCCTTTCCTGCCCAGTGCTGAGGGTGCTCCCTGCACACCAGGAGGAGTTTCCCAGGCACCATCAGCACCTCCACCAACATTCTGTGCTAAGAACTCCTCCAGTCAACCCCAGGACCAGGAGCTTTGGGCACTTTCCCACAGCAACACCAATTGTCCCCCCACAGCTCTGCCCTTCACACCTTCCTCAGGCACATCTGCAGCTGAGTGTCACCCCCACGGCCAAACCAGCCCAAACTGCCTGGGAAAACCATAAAAAACCCCAAAACCCCCCAAGGGCAGGTGCAGCAGCATTTCCCCAAGCTGAGCTGGTTTGTACCTTGGCTGGTGCAGGTTCCCTGGGCTTTGGGAGCAGCTCTGCCTTGATTGCCTCCATCCTGAGCTGATGCTCTTCATCCCAGTCTGCCTCACACTCCTGGGACTGGCTGGCCAGTTTCATCTTCACCCAGGCTGCCAAAAACACAAAGCAGGAGAGTTTTCCTTTCCTGTTTCATGTGTGAGAGCAGTTTTTAACCTAAAGTCAAAGCTGTGCATTTCTGGTTAGCCCAGCTGAGAGAACAAAGACCACACCAAATTCCAGAGCTCCTGGAATGAGCAGGACTACCATGGCAAATGGCTCCTTGGATCATTTATTTGGGGAGATGGATCCAAGACTCTTCCCTGGTTCTGTCATCCTCACAGTCTCAGACACAACTCAGAGCTCACTCACACAATCCCTTCCCACATCCCTGATTTAATAACTGTACGGACAAAATAATTCCTTACAGTGGTGCCAGGAAAAGAAGGTTTTCAAACTGGAAAAGCCCAATTCTACCCAGTTTTATCACAGCACAGAAGATTCCCCAGTGTCCTGCTCCCTTCCCTGCCCTCAGACTTCACACACTTCCATGGCAAACAAGGAAATGCCAAGAAAATCCAGTGGCACCTAAATTCCTGCAGCTGTCACCTCTGAAAGTGAGAGGCAGAGCCTGAACATTCCCAAAGAACCTCCCCCCAAAGAACACCCCCCAACCTGCACCACAGGCACTGCACCAGACCCTGCTGGAGTCAGGAGATCACTGGGAAGTGTCCCTCACTGAAGCCCTGTCCTGAACATTCCCAAAGAACATTCCCCCACAGAACATTCCCCCACAGAACATTCCCCCAAAAAACATTCCCCCAAAAAACATTCCCCCAAAAAACATTCCCCCAAAAAACATTCCCCCAAAAAACATTCCCCCAAAAAACATTCCCCCAACCTGTCCTACAGGCACTGCACCAGACCCTGCTGTGTCAGGAGATACTGGGAAGTGTCCCTCAACAAAGCTCTGTCCCATTAAAGGGTCTCAGTGCACTGCACAATAATCTCCTTCTTTGTAAATCAAAGGTGACTCGGACACAGGGGAGAGAGAATGGTGCATCTGACTCCATCATCACAAGGCTAATTAATTACTTTACTATTATTTACTTTATAATACTATACTATGTACATTGTATCCAAACTGAATCTGCCATGCACTCACCCTTGCTCACAACTGCTCACCCTGCACTCATCTCTGATTGTCTCGTGACTGTCCCGTGACAGTCCAGCACCCACACACACACACACCTGGCCCTGACAGGCCAAGGGAACAAAACATCCTCACTTTGGGTAAACAATCCCCATATTGCATTCTGCTTTAGCACAACACAGGCACAGCAAGCCAGATAAGAACTGTGTTTTCCTTCTTCTCACAGCTTCTCTCTGTTCGGAGGGCACGTGAATACCAGACCCTTCATGCAGGAGCAGCCTCACCCCATCACTGCCACAGCCCCTGACACAAACCCACCCCAGCCCCTACACAAACCCACCCCAGCTCCTGACACAACCCCACCCCAGGCCGTGCCAAACCCACCGAGAGCCTTCCTCACCTCGGATCTTCCTCTCATGCTCCTTGGTCACTGCCACAGCCCCTGACTCAAACCCACCCCAGCTCCTGACACAATCCCAACCCCAGGCCGTGCCCCTGACACAGCCAAACCCACCGAGAGCCTTCCTCACCTCGGATCCTCCTCTCGTGCTCCTCAGCGCTCTTCAGGACATGGCTGGCCGGGGCAGTGGTGCCCAGGAGGCTGCGGACACGGGTGGCCAGCGAGTCACCGCTGCTGCTGCTGCCCGCTGGGCTCAGGGCAGCTCCTGGCAGGCTCCGAGCAACTCCAGCCCCGGGCAGGCTGTCCTGCACCACCCCCGGGGCACTGCCCGGCTGCTGGGACTGCCCAGCCCTCCTCAGGAGGCTCCTGACCCGGGCACTGAGGGAATCCCCACTGCTGCTGTCCTCGCTGCCCTGTGTCCCTGCTGCGGTGCCAGCCTGGCCCCAGGAGCCCAGGGAATTGCCCAGGCCAGCGGGGGCACTGCCCAGGGGCTCCAGGGGAGGAGGATGGCTGGGCTGTGGGGCTGTGCCAATGCCCAGGAGGCTGCTGGCAGTGCTCTGTGCCAGCCCTGCACGGGCAGCCTGGCTCCTGCCCACACTGCTGCTCCCTTCTGGCTCCCACCTCCCCATGGATTTCCCTGTCCTTGGCTCTTGGGCCACTGCCCTCAGCCCTTCCCTGCACTGGGAGCTGACAGCCAGAGGGTGTCCCCATGCCAGCTGGCAGCTGGCAGAATCCAGAGGGTCCGTGTCCAGCTCCTGTGCCCGCACACGCCTCGGGGTCACGGCCTCATCCCATGTCAGTGTGTCCTGCAGCTTTGGGATCCAGTCCTGGCCTAACCTGGCATCCTTTGGATCCTCCTCCCTCCCACCCAGCCCCGGGGGAGCCTCCCCAGGCTCTGTGCAGGAGGCTGTGGGGCCACCAGGACGGCTCCAGCTGGCAGCCAGACCCTCTGCCTGTGCCAGCAGCTCCCGGAGCTCCTGCAGGGCCTCAGGGCCCATCAGGGATTCCCTTTCCTGGCCCTGGCTGCTCTCACTTCCCACCCCAGAGCTCGAGGATGCTCTGTCCAATTCCATGTCATTCCCAAGCCCAGACAGAGCCCATCCCTGCTGGCTGCTGTCTGAGCTCCTGCACTCAGGGTCAGCAAGGGCACCCTGAGCCCTTCTCCCCCCATCCCGGGGATCCCTGCCCGAGGAGCAGCTGGGCAGGTTCTGCTCTGCCCCAGCAGGTCCAGGGGACCCCTCTGTGCCCCCTGGGCCTCCCCCCTCCAGCTGGGGGCCTGGCACACTGCCCTGGCTGGCTGGGGAGTGCCCAGAGAGCGTGGGGGAGATGGCACTGAGCTCCGGGGGGGACAGCAGGTCCTGCTCCTGCTCCGAGCCAGCCTCTGAGCCCACGGAGAGGGACACGCTCAGAGGGGACACATCCGAGCCAAAGCTGGCCTGGGACAGCTCAAAGGCTGGCAGCAAGGCACCTGCAAAGGAACAGGAGACAAATGAGCATCTGCAGGCTCCAGAACACAGCAAACATCCCTTCCTGTGCTACAGTGTCACAGACATCTTTTATGGAAAATCCTTTCCTTAGGATTTTTCCTGCTGAGAACCTGAGAGGCCTCAGGAACAAAATGTAAACAATGATTATCTGCTGCTGTGGAATGCAACAGGTGCATCTGTGATTGGCCCATGTTGGATGTTTCTAATTAATGGCCAATCAGAGTCTAGCTGGCTCAGACAGAGAGCTGAGCCACAAACCTTTGTCATCATTCTTTGCTATTCTATTCTTAGCTAGCCTTCTGATGAAATCCTTTCTTCTGTTCTTTTAGTATAGGTTTAATGTAATATATATCATAAAATAATAAATCAAGCCTTCTGAAACATGGAGTCAGATCCTCGTCTCTTCCCTCATCCTCAGACCCCCGTGAACACCGTCACACTACAGGGCACACAAAGGGAGGGAAGAACTCAAATACTGGAAAATATTTAAGGTGCTGTCCTTAGGATGAGACTTGAACCAAGATTTCCAGGAGAACTGTCTCCTGAAAGAAACCTCAGGAGTACTTAAGATAAATATCAAACAAAATGCAAACTTAACAGAGAATTATAGGATATCTAGAGTTGGATGGGATCACCCATCCAGCCCCTGGCCCTGCACAATCCCACCCTGTGCACCTGGGAGCAGTGTTCAAACCCTCCTGGAGCTCTGGCAGGGCTGGCTGTTACAAAACCACGCTAATTTGGATGGTGGTGATGATGATGATGGGTGGATGGATTTAGGAACAGATCTGGTCAGTTATAAAAACACTGACAACTTTTCATCACACCAAACACACCAGGAAATGCCAGAACGCAAAAGAACCCAAGAATTACTCCTCTCCCAAGAAGGAAAGGTCTGGTCCCAGTCCTTCAGTCTCAAGATACAAACCATTTCCTTCTACAGGACTCTAGGAAAAAGAGAAATAAAGGGAATGAAAGCCCTGTCTGCCTGGCAGCTGCCCCACAGCCACACTCCTTTGCAGAGATTTGAGCATCTCCCAGTGCCCAAATCTGCTGCCATGGCAGAAGATGGAGTGCCAGGAACCCCCTGAGCCCCAGGGGAATGGGGTCTGTGCCCTCCTGGTGGAACCCTGGGTACTGAGGGTTTCACACTTTCTGGGCTAGAAAACACTGACCCTCAAGAAAACTCTACATTTGACCTGAGACCGCAGAGAAAGCTTCCAAAATTGCATGATAAAACTCAGATCATGAGGGTATAGTTTAAATAAATGTAGGTAATGTTACAAAGTAGAAAACTCAGAATTTAAAGTTTTAGTAATATATAAAAATATATAGTAAAGCTTTAGTAATATATAGTAATTATAGTATTATGTAGTATTTAGTATATAGTATTATAAAGTATTTAGTCATATATAAAACAAAAGTTGTAAAACAGTAACTAATCCTTCTTCTTCACCTTCTTCATAAGTTTAAGTAATATTATGTAATTAAATTTAAAAGTCCAGGTTACAAAACACGAACAATTAGTTATTAAAAATAACTAACCAATAATTATTTGTTAGTTATTAACTAATTAGAATTATAATTTGTTATACAACATATAGTAGTTATAATTAGTTATATAATAATAATGATATATAACATATCATTAATATAAGTTCTATAATAATATAATACAATAATAATATAAAATAATTTAATTTAATATATAGATAATATTAAATAATATATAACAATTATTATTAGTTATTAATAATAACGTAAGGCAATAATAATTAGTTAGTAACCAATTATAGTAAGTTGGAATATATAACAATTATAGTATAATAATAATAATAATAATAATAATAATAATAATATATATATATTATTGATAATATTAGATATAATATAATGTAATGTAATATATAACAATTATAATTAGTCATTTATAATCGAACCCAATCATTATTAATTAGTTATTAACTAATTATAACTATTTATAATACATATAACAATTATAGTTCTATAATAATAATATATAACATATATTAATAATATTAGATATTGTATAACTATAAATAGTTTTTAATAATAATAACCTAACCCAAGCAAAGAAACCCCAAAGCCCACTACCCTCCCATCCCCCAGAGCCCCCATACCCTGGGCCTGCGGGGGGACTCTGTCCAGGGGGGCCGTGTCCAGGGGGGGCTGCAGGCTCCTGAGCCCCCATGGGGAGAACTCCAGCTCCCGGAGGGGCCCGCGGGGCACAAAGGGGGCCAGGATGGTGCCAGGGGACTGCTCGATGCCCAGGTTCCGCAGGTACACCTGGCAGGGAAACAGGGATAATCAGCACTGAGGGCAGGGGGGCACCCCGAGCTCTCCTGGCACGCTGGGCACTGCAGGAGGGGGCACTGCATTGCCCAGGTTCCACAGGTACACCTGGAAAAGGAAACAGGGACAATCAGCACTGAGAGCAGGGATGGATCAGGAACAATCAGCACTGAGGGATCAGGAACAATCAGCACTGAGGGTAGGGATAGATCAGGAACAATCAGCACTCAGGGCAGGGTGGATCAGGAACAATCAGCACTGAGGGTAGGGATAGATCAGGAACAATCAACACTCAGGGCAGGGTGGATCAGGAACAATCAGCACTGAGGGTAGGGATAGATCAGGAACAATCAGCACTCAGGGCAGGGTGGATCAGGAACAATCAGCACTGAGGGCAGGGTGGATCAGGAACAATCAGCACTCAGGCCAGGGATGGATCAGGAACAATCAGCACTGAGGGCAGGGATGGATCAGGAACAATCAGCACTGAGGCAAGGTAGATCACGAACAATCAGCACTGAGGGATCAGGAATAATCAGCACTCAGGGCAGGCATGGATCCTGCCATGATGGGCACTGCAGAAGTGGGCACTGCATTGCTCAGAGCAGGCTGAGCCCCAGTCTCACTGCTGGAAACTCTACCTCCATACATACATGAAGGTTTGAGCTAAAAACACAAAGGTTTGGGTTGAAAACACAAAGGTTTGGGTTCAAAGCCCTCTCTCTCCCCACTCAGCTCTGCTCAGGAAACACTGGCAGGCTCAGGAACTCCAGGCAGCAGCAGGGAAGCTCTTCAGTTTTTAGGACAAATTTGGTCAAACCTTCCAGGCAAATAGCTGGGAGCAGTTTTGTCAGAGCTGGTTTACACTCAGATGTTATATGCAGGAAAAAAACAGCCAACATTTTCCTTGGCTTCATCACCTGTAGGGCAAATTAATTTCAGTTCATCCACACTATGTCCTAAACTAGCCAAGAAAATGAAATAAATTACCTTACACATCACAGCCAGCCCCATTTCCTATGATTTTATCATAAACTTCCACATTACCAGCCAGAAAAGTGACCTGCTCTCCTTTACCTTCCAGAGATTTATGGAAGCAGCATTCCCCAGAACCAGGCTGGAGTGTGTAATTATAGCCAGGAACAGAAGTCATCTCTCTGTCTCATGAATTTCATTTCAAACACCCTCCCTCCAATATTTATATTTGTTTCACCATTTCACCACGGGTTTGCAGAGACAACAGAGTGAAGAGAGCTTCCAGAGCACATTCCCAAAGACCTGGTGATTATGGAGTCATCTTGTGAGAGGAGCAGCCTCTTACTCAGAGGATAATTACATGTTTGTCATTACCATAAATCTGCATCTCATTTGCTCCACCACTCCCAGCTATTAGTGCCCTGAAGGTGCTGCACAGGGCTCCAGCCCCTTCAGGAGAAACCTGGGTCAGCCACACAGGACAGAAAGGAGGGAAGGCATGAGAGTCTCTGGAGGTGAGGAACACATCAGGAATTCAGAACTGAGGCCTCAGAAACTGGAGCAAAGTGAAAAAACAGAGTGATAAAATCACAGGAAAAAAGGAATTTCATTTCCAAGGAGCTGTGTTGGGTTTGCTGCTCCTGCAGAGCTGGGGAAGGTTCAGCTCTCCTCACTGAGCACCTGAGCCTGAACCTCCTGTTTGGACAAGGAGAGCCTGGTCTTTGAGAGAGCCACCAACCCTCACTTCTCTCTCCTCCTGCTCCCCTGGTGTGGGATTAAGCCTTTTCTGACCCAGAGATGGGGTAAATGGGAGGCGTTTACAAAACTTTTATTCCATTTTCAGTCTCACCAGAAGGGTGAGACAATACAGATGTTAGAATTCACACCATCACAACCAGAATCCAACTATTTCCTAATTACAATACACTATCAGTGTTTCATGATCTATCAGCTTCAGCCACACCATGCTGCAAATTATTTAATCATCTAAAATTACCCCTCGTGGGTCCCACTACAATGCATCTTTCACAGTTCTATTTCTCCAAAGTATCCAATCTTATTTGCAAAGCCATCCTTTAAAACTTGTTTCTGGCTCCATTTCTCTCTCAGCAATGTCTGCTTTATTCCCTGGCATTCCTAAATCAGCATTTCTTGACTCAAGGTTTGCACACTTTGAGAATTCCCTACAAATCCATTTCCCACACCCTGACACTCACCTACCCTGGGAAAGACAAGAGGCCTTTCCCATATCCAACCCTGTCTTTGTCCATGTTAAATAGTACTAAAAGTTATTTTCCACCTCTATTTAAGATAAGCTGAACCTGTATCATGGATGAAATTCACTGTGGCACAACCCTGTGTAAAAGGGTTTTGTTTTGGCTTGTACTGATTAGATCCTCTCCTAAAAGAGCAGTAGGGGGGAATGGAAAAGTGAAAAACAAATGGAGAACTCTGAAAAACAAATGGAAAAAAACATAACTGAAAAAAAATGGGTAACTCTGGGAAAATAAATGGTTAACCTGGGGGGAAAAAATGGATAACTCTGGAAGCAGAGTTTGAATTAGAGCCAAACTTACCGGGATCCTTTCTTCAATATTCAGCTCTTCCTTCTTGGGAGTCTCCAGGGCTGCTCCAGAGGGGATGGGGCTGTTCCCTCCTGCACTGGGGCAGGGCCTGGGCACCACCAGGGCCCCCTGAGGCTCCTCAGGACCAACAGGAAAAGTCAGACTCTCCAAGGGAATGACTCCAAAGCTGTCCATAATGTGACCAGTGGGGACACTGAGGCTGAGGGACTGATTTCCCTTCTCCTCACAGTCCTGGTGCTCCTCAGCTGGGGAGCTCCCATCCTTTGGAAGGAGCTGAGCAGCACTGGGCACAAACACATCTGGGGCTGAGCTTCGCCTGGTGGTGCTGTGCCCATCTTCAGCAGGGGATCCAGGCAGCCCCTTCTGTGGGGTGGGGCTGTCAGAGCCCCCCAGAGCAGCACTCTGCTCCCCCTGTGCTGCAGGGCTCAGGGCAGGCAGGGCTGTGCTCCTGCTGGAGATGTTCATGGCGCTGTCAGACTGGGACCTGCTCAGAGGGAGGGCAGGCAGCAGCTCAGTCTGAGGGAAATGCACATTTCCCAGAGAACCTGTGCCCCTGCAGGCACGAGCAGCACTGCCCTTGGGGTCCCCCAGGCTTTCCTGCACTGCTGAAACACAGCCTGAATGCCTGGGAGGTGCACTGGAGGCTTTCCTTGCAGGAGAAGATGCACCTGGCACACAGGTGGGAGCACCCTGCAGGTGCCAGGCTCCCACCTTCTCCAGGAAGCTCAGTGAGGGGAAGGACTGCATCCTGCCAGGGCAGGGAGATTCCAGCTTCAGGGACTCCAAACGCCCACAGGTCTCTGCCACAGCACTCTGGGGAGGGGGCTGCTCCTCCCCAGGGACAGGGGACATCCCTGGGGCTTCTTCACTGGGACACCAAGGAGAGGCCTGAAGGTCTGAGAGCATCACCAGGCCTTCACCAGGTCCTTCTGCCTTCCCAGCTCTCTTGAGGAACACCCCTGGCGTGGACTGGAAGTTGGGATGAGGCAGGAGCAGGGAGAAGGAGCCCTCAGCCCCCAGGCTGAAGGAAGGGGAGATCTCTGTGGCTTTGTGTCCCCTCTGTATGGAGCAGTCAGAGGCAGTGAGCTCATCCCTGCTCCCTGCAGGCTCTGGGGAGTGCCCAGGGCAGGGGGCAGCATCCTGGGGCTGGGTCAGGCTGGGTGTCCCAGCAGGGAGCAGCCCCTCTGTCCCCAGCTTCCCTGCTGGCTGCTGCTGGCCCAGGAGAGCTCCCTGCAGCCCCTGAGGAGCAGCCATGGAGGCCAGCCCCCGCTCCTGGGAGCCCCTGAGCCCTCCAGAGCCCCTGGGCTGCACCCCAGGCTCCTGCAGCCCTCCTCTGCCTGCCCCAGAGGCTGCTGCACAAAGAACTTCTTCAGCAGCCGAGTTCTTGGCATGGCCTTTCATCAGGCCCTCAGAGAAGTTATGGGACAAACCAAGCTGAGGCACCTTCCTTCCCTTCTCCAGCTTCTCCAGGGCTCCTGCCCCACTGCCAGCCACCTTCACCTTTGTCTGCTGCACACCCCTCTCGCTTTTCTCAGAGAATTTGGTCAGGGCAGTTCTGTAGGAGTTTCCTGAGGAGGAGGAGGAGGAGGAGGAGGAGGAGGAAGATTCCTCCTGCCCCGGGGACTCCTTGTTCCCCTCTGAGAGCTCAGGGGCAGCAGCTGGGCCATCACTGTCCCGGGAGGAATGACCACAGGGGTGACCATAGCAGTGTCCATCCCTCCCAGCTGTGCCCCAGGGCTGCCCCAGCCCCTGCTCTGGAGCTGGCTGCGCTGCATCCCCCCTGCCCAGGGGGATTGGTGCCTCCTGCTCACTCTCCCCACTGTCCCCATTGTCCCCCTGGCTGCCCAGGGGCTGCCCAGGCTGGGGAGCAGCTCCAGGATCCTCCTGTGCCACAGGCTGGGAGTGCTGGGGTGGGCTGGGAAGGGCTGGGCCCCTCAGGGATGCAGTGCCATGGATGTGGGCAGGCTCTGAACGCTCCAGGGATGCTCCAGAAACATCCGGGACTCCTCTGCAAGAAAAGGGAATTCCTGATAATTTATTTTATTCCAACATCTCTGGTTTAAATCAGAGGCAAAAGAACTTCAGTGCAACTGGGGTATAGCAATATTCACACAAATACCCATAAATGCAAGCCCTAAAGGGGCAAAACCCAAAGGAATGCAAAGAAATATCAAAAATCTCCTATAAAACAAAGGCTCAAAAATAATATCATAATAACATCAATTTTTACTTAGTATGACAATATTGTTCCACCTGTTTAGGACTGAAACATTTCTTACTGACAGGCTGTTATTAGCTACATAAATAAATAAAATTAGCTAAGTAAAATATGCAACATTTACTTACACATATCTCAGCTTGCCTGTGATTTTTAATACAAATTAATAATGTTGCATATTTTACAAGTACAAGCTACTTCAGTTCATTATATTAATTATTTCTTTAAAGGATATAAAAGCAGCCAGGTCTCAGATAAGCAACAAATTCCTATGAAGTTCTAATACTCATATTGGGGATTGCTTAATTAATAGTTCCTTTATATTAAACATACCACCAAAGCCTAATAAATATTATTCCATGCAAGCAGAGCACCTCAGAATGAAGGTGACAAAGCCTTTTACTGAAACAGCTCTTCCTTTATGCATTTTAACCCCAAATTTGTACTGTAAATTACACATTTGGCTCCAGCATTTATAAACCACAACCCTGTCCCTGTATGTTTTACTCCTGTAAATACAGAAACCTGATCTTTGTCCCCAAAATTTCATGAAGTTTATTCCAGAGTCTAAGAAGGCTCCAGAGATGTTGAAGAGGGTGGAGTTCCTCATTTTCCCCAGGAACCTCAGCATGACAAGCTCAGAGGAGGCTGCTCCTGATTTTCCCTTGCTCAAGCTCTCTTGACGGCAGAACCCAGAGGTGCCTCCTCTCCACACACCCCCAAATCCCATTTCTGAGCCCAGACCCTGCCACTGTCCAGCACCCAGTGCAGAACCTCCCCCAGGAGCCCCATCCCACCTGAGGGGAAGGAAATCCATCTGGGATCCCTGCAGGAACGTCTCACCCCGGGCTGGGCTCAGCAGCAGGGGCAGGCAGGGGGAGAATCGGCTCTCCTGGACATCTGGGGGAGAGAAAACACCAGCAGGGCACTGAGAGCTGGCAGCAAGCACCACAGTCCCAAAGATGGCCAAAGATCCCAGCTGCACATCCCCAAAGATCCCAGCCCCACATCCCTAAGGATCCCAGCTGCACATACCCAAAGATCCCAGCCCCACAACCTCAAACATCCCTAAAGAACCCAGCTGCACACCCCCAAAGATACCCAAAGAACCCCAAAGATCCCAGTCCCACATCCCCAAAGACAGCCAAAGATCCCAGCTGCACATCCCCAAAGACTCCAGCCCCACAACCCCAAAGATCCCAGCTGCACATCCCCAAAGAGCCCCAAAGATCCCAGCCCCAAACGCCAAAGATCCCAGCCCCACACCCCCAAAGATTCCCAAAGATCCCAGCTGCACATTCCCAAAGATACCCAAAGATCCCAGCTGCACAGTCCCAAAGAACCCCAAAGACCCCAGCCCCAGAACCCCAAAGAACCCCAAAGACCCCAGTCCCACATCCCCAAAGATACCCAAAGACCCCATCACCAAAGACCCCACCCCCCATCCCCAGTGACCCCAGTCCCCCATCCTCAGAGATGCCCAAAGACCCCAGTCCCACATGCCCAGTGACCCCAGCCCCAAGGACCCCAGCCCCAGAGACCCCAGGTGCAGGGAAGGGGAGGGGGTCTCACCCAGACCCCCCTCCCTCCAGGAGTAAACTCACCTGTACCAACCCCAGGTGTGCAGCACTCACCCTGGCACTGCCATCCCAAATCTCCTCCTGTGCCACCCCACCCTGCCCAGCCCAGCCAGCACCCCGTGCTGATGGCCAGGGGGGATCACACAGGGATTGGATCCCATATCACCACCTTCCACTTTCCAGCCCCAGGATCCCACAGCTCCTTCAGAAACTGATTCCAGCCCAGGCTGTGCCATTGTTTTCCTGAAGGATTCAAGTTCAGCTCGTGCTCAAAGCCAGCAGGCAGAGATGATTGCCGCAGCAATTTTAGTTTCTATCCTGCATCTCTTTGCTCTTTGGGGTACTTGGGTTTTTTTTCCAGTTCATTGCTTACAAAAACAAATGGAAATTGCTCCTACCACAAGAATAAAACAACTCTAATACATATGGAATTATCTGTGGGATTTAGACATAACTGTATGTTTGGAGGGAGTTTCTCCTTTTCTTAACTCTGAGCTGGTGTCTGAGAAGTGTAAATAACCACAGACAGGTCTGAGGGGTGCAAAACTCCCAATATTCTAAACAAGCTTATATTTTTAAAGGGAAAGAGCTATTTGTGGCCAAGGGAGTGACTTCCTAACCCAGAAATGCCATTTATTTAATTTAGGCTCATTAGTTTCCAACCTATCAGACAAACCACAGTCTGCAGCACTCAGAGGAGCACAATCATACCAGAAAAATTATCATTACACCAAAAAACTCCAGTTTTCATTCCATCAGCTCCAGCTCAAGGCTTCTCCACCCACACTGCATCACCTGACCAGGGGCAGCCAACCACAAGGCAACCTTGCTCATTAATTTTTAATTTAATACTTCCAATTTACTTTATTCAAATTACTTTAGAACTCCAGGTAGTAAGAGAATAATTAGCCAGATAGAATAACTGAATTTGCAACACCAAATATGATTAAAATGCTTTTTTGGAAGCTTGGAGAAAGGAAACGAGATGTAGCTTAAAATAGTAGGTGTAAACAGCTATTCCTGAGCAGTGTGACAGCAGGAGGAGCTCCAGAGGACTCAGTCCAGAGCTGGATGGCAAAATGAGCTCTGACACACGTGCAGGGGTGACAAAGGAGAGGCAGCACAGAGGGAGCAGAGCCAAGGGAGGAATGCAGGACCAAGGACACACAGAATCACAGAATGATGAGGCTGCAAGAGCCCTCTAAGATCATGGAGTCCAACCTGTGCCCTAACACCGCCACTATAGCACCAAGTGCCATGGCCAGGCTTTTTTAAACACATCCAGAGATGGTGATTGCACCACCTCCCTGGGCAGAGCAACCCAGTGCTTTGTTATTCTTCTGGTGAAAAATTTCTTCCTAATATCCAACCTATCCCTTCCCTACCTTGAGACTGTGTCCTCTGGTTCTGTCAGAGACCAACCCCACCTGGCTACAAGCTCCCTTCAGGAAGGTGTAGAGAGCAATAAGGGCACCTCTGAGCCTCCTCTTCTCCAGGGTGAGCACCCCCAGTTCCTTCAAATGCTCCTCAAAGCTCGTTTGGAACAGAGCAGCTCTCAGGGCCCTGCTCCACCAACAGCTCACCCCAAAGCGGGGGAGATGGGGCAGCCCTTGGGGAACAGTGGGACTGGGGCTGGGATGGGACTGGGGCAGGGACTGGGGGATTGAGGTAGTGAAGGATTGGGGCAGGGATGGGAGTGGGGCAGGGATGGGAGTGGGGCAGGGATGAGATTGGGATGGGGCAGGGAGGGGATTGGGATTGGGGCAGGGAAGGGATTGGGGCAGGGAAGGGATTGGGGCAGGGAAGGGATTGGGGCAGGGAAGGGATTGGGATTGGGGCAGGGAAGGGATTGGGATTGGGGCAGGGAAGGGATTGGGATTGGGGCAGGGAGGGGATTGGGGCAGGGAAGGGATTGGGGCAGGGAAGGGATTGGGGCAGGGAGGGGATTGGGATTGGGGCAGGGAAGGGACTGGGGCAGGGATGGGACTGGGACTGGGACAGGGATGGGATTGGGGGAGGGAGGGGACTGGGATTGGGGCAGGGGGGGACTGGGATTGGGGCAGGGAGGGCACTGGGATGGGATTGGGGCTGGGATGGGATTGGGGCAGTGAGGGGATTGGGGCAGTGTCAGGATGAAGAGATTGGAGCAGGGATGGGATTGAGGCAGTGACAGGATTTAATCACTCAGAACCCTGATTTAAGATCAGGAACAGGGGACTGAGCTGATTCCCTGGGATGTCCCTCACGTTCCCCCAAACACCCCGAGATCAGAGGGGTGTGCTCAGGGCTGGCACTGACACAGCCTGGTTTACACTCCCAATTCCCAGTAATGAACTGGGAGCACACACAGCGTTTCCAGGGCACTTGGCCCACTCAGCACAGCTCACTCAGGAATATTTCACTGCTGCACTTGGGAATACTGAGCACATTAATCTGCATACAGAATTGCACTAAGCATGCAAACCAGGGTTTTTTAAGAACATTAAACAAGTTCAAATCTGAACTCTCTCAGCTCTGTTAGATGGACTTTTCCCCCCTCCCAAATCTTGTTTTCTATTTAACATGGCACTAGTGAACAAATAATATTAATTGCAGTTACCAAATCAGGCTTGTCAGCTCCCATCATGACACACTTCATGTGGCAGAACTGGCACCTTATTTTTAGTCATGCAAGAGAGGAGGAAAACAAGCTCTTCTGATTTCAGCTGAACTTCTCCACTTTGAATGAAAATGTATTCTCAAGCTAAATTCAAAAGCAGGAGTGATTAAAGAAAAGGTTTTTCCACACACAGAAAAATCTGGGTGTGCTTTGGAAATGAAGAAACAAAGAGGACTAAGGGAGGGAGCAGAAAATAATTGGGAAACAAAGCTGTCAAAAGCAGATGTTGCTAATCTTTGTGTACACAGATTAATAAAGCAAATGTGCATACACAGACACATACACACCCCATAAATCACAACATTTGCTGATAAATGAGTGCTTTCAGGCTCTATTATACCAACAAACACCTAAGTGCCACTCCACATTTGTTCTGAGAAGCTCAAAGAGTGGAAAAGTGACTGAACATTCGCAGGGAACTCCAGAAACCCCAAATCCCTCCAGAGAAGCTCAAGGATCAGGCAGGTGTTTGCCAACAAAAACCTCAGTGCACAGACCTTCAGCAGGGGGCAAGGGAGGGTGGCATGGTTGGGATGCCCAGAAGGGATCCTGGGGCACATTTGGGATGCTCAGGGATCTTGGGGCACTTTTGGGATGCTCAGGAGGGACCCTGGGGCACATTTGGGATGCTCAGGAGGGATCTGGGGCACATTTGGGATGCTCAGGACAGTTCCTGGGGCACATTTGGGACACCCAGGACAGCTCCTGGGGCACATTTGGGATGCTCAGGGTAGACCCTGGGTCATGTTTGGGATGCTCAGGGATCTTGGGGCACATTTGGGATGCTCAGGGATCCTGGGGCACATTTGGGATGCTCAGGGTAGACCCTGGGTCATGTTTGGGATGCTCAGGGATCTTGGGGCACATTTGGGATGCTCAGGAGGGATCCTGGGGCACATTTGGGATGCCCAGGGTAGATCTGGGGCACATGTGGGATGCTCAGGGATCCTGGGGCACATTTGGGATGCTCAGAAGGGATCCTGGGGCACATTTGGGAAACCCAGGACAGCTCCAGGGGCATATTTGGGACGCCCAGGACAGTTCCAGGGGCACATTTGGGGCGCTCAGAAGGGACCTGGGGCACATTTGGGATGCTCAGGGTAGACCCTGGGTCATGTTTGGGATGCTCAGGGATCTTGGGGCACATTTGGGATGCTCAGGGATCCTGGGGCACATTTGGGATGCCCAGGGTAGATCTGGGGCACATTTGGGATGCTCAGGAGGGACCCTGGGGCATATTTGGGACACCCAGGACAGCTCCAGGGGCACATTTGGGATGCCCAGGACAGCTCCTGGGGCATATTTGGGATGCTCAGAAGGGATCTGGGGCACATTTGGGATACTCAGGGTAGACCCTGGGTCATCTTTGGGATGCTCAGGGATCTTGGGGCACATTTGGGATGCCCAGGAGGGATCCTGGGGCACATTTGGGGTGGCCAGGAGGGACCCTGGGGAAGGCACATTTGGGATGCCCAGGAGGCACAGGGGGCTGTGCTCAGCCAGGGCCAGGCCTGGAGCAGCAGCCTGGGCTGAAGCAGGCAGTGATGTCAGTGCTGCTCTCCTGCTGTCACTCTGGGACTTTTCCTGCTGCCACTCTGAAGGCCAAAAGGCTCCTGAGTGCAGCTCAGCGAGCAGGCAGAGCTGGGCCTGCACTCGCTCTCCCAGCCTGCTGACAAGCCTGAATGCCACACTCAAGCTGCCATTTGGGGGATAAAAAAGAAAGGCAAAACAAAAACAAAGCCTGGGCTCTGTCAAGCTGTTCCTCAGAGCAGCAGGAGCACTTCAGTACAACTGTCACTGTCACTCCTCCCCTCCTGACACGGAATCCAAGGCACTTTGTGAGGAGGAGAAGCAGGAATAAGTGAGGATTGCAGCTCCCTTCCCTCTCAGCTCTCCCCTGTAGCTGGGAATGCAGAGCACACCCAAAGCCTGCAGCCCATCTCTAGGGAGCACAGATCAAACAGCACTGAGAGGTTCTCACAGCTCTCAGCACATTGCAGAGCCTTTCCTTGCTCCATAATTCCAGCTGCACTGCAAACACAGAGCTGCACAAATATCAAGAAGTTTTCCTTGATTAAATGGCTTCTAGCTCTGCACATAACACATGGGGAAAAGGGCTGTGAAACACCTGAAACACAGGAATCCTGCCCACAGCATGGGCAGGCACAAGGCATGGCCAGCCCTCCACATCCTCCCACTTTGAGCCCTGTCCTGAACCTCACCTTCCTACCAAAATGGGATTTATTCACTATTCACCAACTCCCAGTGATGCACACACAGCTTTTAACCATCACACTGCCGGCAGACTCAGCTCTGAGGCAGCCCAGGATGGCTCTCATTCCATGAGGAGAAAAACCCTTCAAAAACATCCCCAGGTGGCTGCAAATGCAGCAGTTCCCTGGTGCTGTGAGTGAACCCAGCCTGTGCTCTGCTCCTTCTCCCCTCACTACCTGTCCTGGTTTGTGCAAAACAAACCTGTCAGAAGGTGCAAACAGGAACCTTTGGAACAAGAATTTACCAAAAGCCAATTTAATCTATGCAGTAAGTGTTACAGGAGACAGCAGAGACAGCCACCAGGGTGACACCCACAGTGACACCCAGGGTGACACCCACGGTGGCAGGGACTGAGCCTCAGAGGGTTTGGGATGAACCATGATTCACCCAAGGTGTTCCTTCTCCACCTGCAGACTCCTTCACCAAGGAGGGAGCAAAATCATCTCAAAAACTGATCAAAATCACAAAGAGTGTCCCATTAAAAAAATAAAAGCCAAACTCATCAACCCATCAGGAGCTGCTGTGAGGAAATTCCCAAGGTAATTTTAATTCCATGCCCTTCAAGTGGGGTTTAACTCCCAAACAAAGCCCAAAAAGCAGCTGCACACAGGCAGGCTGGCACAGGGAATGGCAAACTGCATAGGTCAACAACTCAAACTGCACAGCTCAAACTGCACAGCTCAAACTGCACAGCCCAAACTGCACAGCCCCACATGCACTCAGCTGTAAGCACAGAAGGGTAATTTAAAATACCTCAGTTATGTTGTCTGCCTCTCACTAATTGTGTTTGTTTGTGAAGAACACCACTGGTGCAGGGACAGGCACCTCCATTCACCAACTCAGGCACACCCTGGCAAGGGCGGTCACAAAGGGAATGTCCTCATGGCCAGGGCAGCTCCTGCTCTGCAAAATGAACCCCTGGGCTGAGAAACTGCAATTTAAGCTGGGTTTGACCAGGGTACTCTGGAAATGAATGGAAGCAGGGAAGCACAAAGGTGAAATGTTAAATGCTGGAGATTCTCAAGCCTTCTGTGACTGACATGCAGGGATGAGAAGGAGCAGAGACCTTGGCTGGAGTGGAATGCCAGCACTGCAAATCTCAGCAACAGGAACTGCAGCCAAACCCAAGGGCAGCAATGAGGACTGGAACCATGGACTGCCTTGGGTGGAGGGCATTTTACAGATATTTCACAGATATTTCACAGCTATTCCATTCCTGCCCCTGCCATGGCAGGGACACCCTCCACTGGCCCTGGACACTGCCAGGGTGGCAGCTGCACTCAGGCTCACCCTGAATTCCACAGGAGAACAAAGCAAAGCTTCACCTGGCACAAAAGGAACCTGTTCATGTTAGGAGATCCAGGGAAGGCACACAAACCCTGCCCCTCATCTTGAGAGGGGCTTTGGCTACAAAATCACCCCAAACACACTTTGTAAACCTCACTTCCCACTGAAGGAAGGTCAAATGCAGGCTGGGACTGAGTGAGCAGTAAAACACCCATTGTGCAGCAATCCCTTTGGACATACCCAGGGGTGAAGCAGGAACTGCAGCTCCAGAAGCTTCTGCTGAGGGCAGCAGCCCTTCCTCCAGCGTGGGCAGCTCCGACAGGTCCCTCCTGGCACAGCTCTGGCCCAGCTTGGTGTCCCAGGAGCAGCTGCTGGCCAGCTCTGCTGTCAGCCAGAACCAGGGCTCCTGGGGGGAGAAACACTGCTCACCATCACCATCATTCCCTGTGAGCCTGAGAGAAGCCAGCACTGATTCTGAAGGGTTCCTACACAACCCCTCAGCCTGGAGTGTGGCAGGACATGGGGAGTCCCCCAGCACTGCCCTGAGGAGCTGCTCTGCCTTTGGGCACACCCCCAGGGCTTACAGCTCCTTCCCACAGCCCTGCTGTGTGAGCCAGGGCTTCTGCACAGCTGGAAATCCAGGTTTTGATTCAGATAAGGCTCAGCCTTTGGGCACTGAGAGCTGAGGGAATTCTCAGAGCAATCCCACACCTGGCAACACATCCAGCACATCCCCTGGGACTGCAGCACAGTGCAAGGGCTGCATTCCACACACAGCACCTCCTGCTAATTGCAATTGTGGCCGTGTTCACAGGGGTCCCAGGATGAGGGAAGAGAGCAGGATCTGACTCCATGTTTCAGAAGGCTGATTTATTATTTTATGTTAAATATTACATTAAAGCTATACTATAAGAACAGAAGAAAATGTTTCATCAGAAGGCTGGCTAGGAATAGAATAGGAAGAATGATAACAAAGGTTTGTAGCTCGGACAGAGAGCCCGAGCCAGCTGGGCTGTGATTGGCCATTAATTAGAAACAAGCACATGAGACCAATCACAGATGCACCTGTTGCATTCCACAGCAGCAGATAATCATTGTTTGCATTTTGTTCCTGAGGCCTCTCAGCTTCTCAGGAGGAAAAATCCTAAGGAAAGGATTTTCTATAAAAGATGTCTGTGACAGCAATCACCTAATTAATCCTCATCCTGGCCAGAGCAGCTCAGCACACACCCAGGGACGGCTGGTCCAGTGACACCCCAGGGACACCCCAGTGCTCCCAGAGACATCCCAGGGACACCCCAGTGCTCCTGCACTCCTGGGTTCTGCTGCTGCAGCTCCTCCCTCCAAGCAGGGAAGGGAAGTGCTGGCAATGGGCTAAAAGGGATCATCTGCTGGTTAGAAACAGATTATTGCTTTGTTCTGTAGTGTGTGCTCAACCACCTCAGGGACAACGGAATACATGAAATATATTAAATATATGAAATACATAAAATACATAAAATACATGAAGTACTCAGGCCATCCCCAGCAGCAAAGGTTGGGCCCCAGCCCCTCATGCTTGGGGTGTTCCTACACCCCATACAGAATGCCGGAGTGCACTGGAGCAGGCAGGTCCCTTCCCCACCTCAGCCCCCCAAAACCTGAGCACCACTGTGTGCACAGCAGCCAGTCCCTCCTGGGGCAGACAGCCTTCCCTTGCCCAAATCCATGTAAATCCAGTGTGTACTGTGAAGAGGATCAACACCCAGCCACACTTGAGGCACTGAATCTGAGCATCATGGAACCCTGGGGTCCCTGAGGCTGGAGAAGCTCTCCTGTGCCCAATCCCCCCTGTCCCCAGCCCAGAGCTCGGGGTGCCACCTCCAGCCCTTCCCTGGACACCTCCAAGGTTGGGAATTCCACCAGAACCTCCAGCAAAGCTCATCCCCTCCTGGGCACTTCTCACCCAGAGGTTCTCCAGGCTCAGCTCTGCCTCCCCAAGCTCCAGGGGAGCTCCCTGGATAAACTAGGAATAATCTCTGCTGTGCTGCTCAGTACACTGTGCTGCACTATTCCAGTTTAATCCCTGTTCCAGAGAGCAACCCTGAGGAGATAACCCAGGTAAGACACAGCCCCACATTGGCACTGGCTGTAGCAGGGCACTGAACCAGGCAGCTGCAAGCAGGAGGAAAGATTTACTAAATGAGTGTAATCATCCCTGAGGGCTCCCACACCATTTAAATCAAATGAAGGAAATTTAACAACGTTTTTCCTCCTGAAGTTCAATACATTGCTGCTAAATACATAAAGAGGGGTGAAGACAGAAATAAAGCTGAATTACAGCCACCCCCACAGCACTCAGTGCCATGAATTGGGGAGCTGGAGAAGCAGCTCTGAACCCATGCTGCAGTTCATGGGCAGAAATATGAACATCACTGGGTTTTGAACTACCTTCAACAGCCAGGTTAGCAATCCTTGTGTTATTCTGCCCCACAGACCACTGAGAATACCAAAATGCAAAACAGGGGAGAAGTTAAAACCCAGGGAGAGAAGGGAAAGAGATCTCCCAGATACCTGATGATGTAAAAACCCAGGGAGAGAAGGGAGAGAGATCTCCCAGATACCTGATGATGTAAAAACCCAGGGAGAGAAGGGAAAGAGATCTCCCAGATACCTGATGATGTAAAAACCCAGGGAGAGAAGGGAGAGAGATCTCCCAGACACCTGATGATGTAAAAACCCAGGGAGAGAAGGGAGAGAGATCTCCCAGATATCTGATGATGTAAAAACCCAGGGAGAGAAGGGAGAGAGATCTTCCAGACACCTGATGGCAGCCAGCTGATCTGCCAGGACATCACAAACACACTCTGGTTTGTGCCAGCACCTGAGAGCAGCCCCAGCCCAGCCCTGCCAGCCCCACAGGAGCCTGCAACACCCCAGGGACTGAGGCCAGCCCTGCCTGGGCAGCCTCAGAACCCTTTCTGGGCAGAGATCTTCCCCAACAGCCAACCCACAGCTCCCTGAGGCTGCTCCCTCCTGTCTTGGTGACTGTCACACGGGAGGGACACAGGAGGGACACAGGACACTCTGCTCTGCACTGGGGCATAGTTCATGCTCAGACTGAAGGGCAGCAATTTAATCTGGGCAAGCTGCTGGGCTGGCGCTCTCCTGTGGGCCTTGGGAAGCACAGAAGCAGTTCAGAATTCACCCATGTCTGGGGGAGGTGCCTTGGTGGCAGCAGGGAATGGATGGGTTGGGTCTGGAGGGCACTGCTGGCCCAGTCCTGGCTGAGAACGAGCCACAGCTCCAGCAGTTTGAGGAGCAGAGTTAATAATAAATGGCACAGCTCAGAGCTGAATGGAGCTTCCCTGCCTGGCCTGGCTCTTCCCTGGCCCCCGGTGCAGTGAGAGCTCAGGGCCACTGGGAGTCAGCAGCCACTGCTGCAGGGCAGGGACAAACAGGAACTCACCTGGAGCACCAGGGACTGATCTGCCTGGGAACCAGGGATCTGCCTGGAACACCAGAGATTGATCCATCTGGGAGCCAGGGATCCAGCTGGGAACATCAGGGATCTGCCTGGAGCACCAGAGATTGATCCATCTGAGAACACCAGGGATCTGTCTGCAGAACCAGGGATCTGCCTGGAGCACCAGGGATCCAGCTGAGAACATCAGAGATCCAGCTGGGAACATCAGGGATCTGGTGGGAATCAGGGATCCAGCTGGGAACCAGGCGTTGATCCACCTGGGAAAGCAGGGATCCACCTGAGAACCAGGGATGGATCCCCCTGGAAACACCAGGGACTGATCCACTGGATCCCCCTGAAAACACCAGGGACTGATCCACCTGGGAACACCAGGGATCTGCCTGGGAAAGCAGGGATCCAGCTGGAGCACCAGGGATGGATCCACCTAGAACACCAGGGAAGCAGCTGCTCTCCTGCTGCAGTCTGGAGGTCCCACCCCTGAGCACCTCCAGGAACCTTCCTCTGCCTCTTCCAAGCCCTACTGTGGCAGGGAAGCACCACTGCCTCTTCTTCTTCCTCCCAGCCCAGGTTCCTGCCCTGTGTGCCCAGCCCTGCCTGCCCCAGGGCTCCCCAGGCTCAGGCCACCCTGCTGGCCTGTCCCTTGTGTTGGCAGCCCCAACAGGAGGGGATCCAGCTGGGGCCAAGGAGGGAATGGTTCCCTCAGAACCCCAAACAGGAACAGGCCCAGGTGAGGCCAAGCAGGGAATGGTTCCCTCAGAACCCCAAACAGGAACAGGCCCAGGTGAGGCCAAGCAGGGGAATGGTTCCCTCAGAACCCCAAACAGGAGAGGATCCACGTGAGGCCAAGCAGGGAATGGTTCCCTCAGAACCCCAAACAGGAGAGAGGATCCAGGTGAGGCCAAGCAGGGAATGGTTCCCTCAGAACCCCAAACAGGAACAGGCCCAGGTGAGGCCAAGCAGGGAATGGTTCCCTCAGAGAGCCCCAAAGAATAGGAAGCGCCTCATTCTGTGGGTTACAGAATTCCTCCCCCTGTTACTCTCTGAAGCCCAAACCACCTTTAAATTACCACAAACTGCGACATCACTCCCAGCCTCTCCTCAGTGAGCAAGAACTTGAGGGAAGTGTTGAGCAGAAGTTTTTAAAGCCAGTTTGAACCCCAGTCCACTGCAAACCTGTGATGGATTCTGCCACAAGGTGTGACACAGGACAGGTGAGCAGGGCACAGAAGCACAGGTGACTCCTGCTTTGGACACCCCTGGGAACTGCAGCCTGAAGCTGCCAAACCCCAGAGGTGATTCCTTCAGGAAGCTGAAACCATCCCAAAGGAACAGAGGGCACAGCAGAGGTGTGAGGGCAGCAGAGGCTGCTCTGGCTGCACTGCAGCCCCTGGGCTCAGCTCCAGCTAGGACTGCCAGGGCTCGCTGGGGTTGTCAGAGCAGCACTCACAGCCAGGGCAACACAAACACACAGGGAGCAACGGCCACCAGGGAACAGCAGCACCCAAAATGCACCACACACACTGCCCTGGGCTCAGCAGAACCAGAACAGGAGGGGAATTCACTGCTCCCCAACAGCACAGCCTGGAGCCCAGCTGGCTGGGAACTGCCTGGAACTGCACTCCCAGGAAGGGCATTGCTGTTTAAATGCACGGGAGAACAAAGGGCAGCAACCAGCCCTGCTGCCCCTCCTGAGAGCATCCAGGGGAGCTCCTGCTGCTGCTGCAGGGCTGATGGAAACTGCATTAACCTCCACTGAGTGCCATGTCCAACACTGTCAGCCTGGCTTCCAGTATATCCCAGTGATTCCCATCCTTTGCTCCATCTTTGTTATTTCTCCTGGCCTTTAGGATATCCCAGTGATTCCCATGGCTGTTACCATCATTTGTTATTTCTCCTGGCCTTTAGGATGTCCCAGCTATTCCCATCCTTTGCTCCACTTTTTGTTATTTCTCCTGGCCTTCAACATGTCCCAGTGACCCCCATGGCTGTTCCCATCCTTTGCTCCACCTTTGTTATTTCTCCTGGTGAGACTGAACCTGCACCAGCCTGTCCTTCCTCCAGGGAATGTTTCTAGAAGTTGCCAAGGCATCTGCCTCAGGTTTCCACGTGGCTGCTGCACCACTGAGCACTTCCCTGGCTCTGGAGCTGTCACACCTCAGGATTTTCCCTCTGAGAACAGGGGGCAGTCACCACCAAGGGCCAGAACCACACAAGGACCTGCCCCACGCTCTCACAGGGTGCCAGTTCAGCAGGACACTGGTTCCTGCACGGCCCTGATGGGACAGCACTACCAGGGATCCCTTCCCAGCCTGCAGCAGGGATCAGAGCACAGCTGAGTGTGAGCTCTGGCGGGACAGCATTGCCAGGGATCTCCTCCCAGCCTGCAGCAGGGATCAGAGCACAGCTGAGGGCACAGAGCTGTGTGAGCCCTCCACGGAGAAAAGGAGGCTCCAGGGAGACCTCCAGCACCTCCCTGAACTTAAAGGTGGCTTTTAAAAAAGAGGAACAACTTTTTACACTGGCAGATACTGGAAAGTGCTTTAAATTAAAAGCTGGGAGATTCAGATGAGATGTTGGGAATAAATCCTTCTCCATCAGGTGGGGAAGCCCTGGCACAGCTGGGGCTGCCCCTGCACCCCTGGCAGTGTCCCAGGCCGGGTCAGAGAGGACTTGGAGCAGCCTGGGACAGTGAGGGGTGTCCGTGCCATGGCAGGGTGGCACTGGGTGGCTTTGAAGGTTCCTTCCACCCCAAACCACGTTGTGATTGCTGAGTGCAGCCCTGTCCCCGAGTGCCCTGCAGGTCACGGCTCAGCAGCTGCACTCGCCCGTCCCCGGGGCAGAACCATCCCCGAGGGAACAATGCATCATTATCAGCCTGTAATTAACACAATGACGGAGCGCACAGCCTGCTGCCGGGAGAGCAGGGCCAGTCCGGAGCAGGGGGACCCTTATCCCGGGAGAGAGCGGGGCACCGAGGGACACCGGGGACACCGAGGGGCAGAGAGGGACTGGGGGACCGGGAACACCGAGGGACCGAGGGATACCGGGGCCACCGGGGGACCAGGCCAGGCTTGGGCCCTGCTGGGAGCCGGGAAGGGGCTCGGGCCAGCCGGGTCCCCCTTTCCAGGGGGGGTGTGACCCCTTAAAAGCCCTTAACGGGGCAGGAGGTGACACCGGCCGGCAAGATAAGGACCCTGACCCAGCAAGATAAGGACCTAGTGTGGCACAGGGACACACGGACACACAAGGGCGGACACTGGGACATACGGACACACAGGGACGGACACAGGGACACAGGGACACACACACAGGACACACGGACACACACGGGGACACACATACGCGCACACACTGGGACACACAGACACGCACACAACCGCTCCGGTCGGTGAGCGGCTGCTCCCGCCCGCCCGACCCCGTGCTCACCTGCTGCTGCTCCTCCTCCTCCTCCTCCTGCTGGCCGTGCTCCATGGCGGCGGGCCGTGTCCGTGTGTCCCTCCCCGTGTCCGTGTGTCCGGCTGTCCCCGTGTCCCGCCCGGTCGTCAGGGTCTCGCACCCGCCCCGCGCGCGCACGCGCCGGGACCGCCCCCTCCCCGCGCCGCCATTGGTCAGTGCGGGGGGCGGGGCCGGGGAGGGAGCTCCGCCTGCCGAGCGGTGATTGGCGGGCGGGGAGAGGCGGGGCGGGGCTGAGGGAGCGCGCGAGCGCGGGGGTTTTGGCGGGCAGCGGAAGTGCCCGGATGGAGGCGGGGGTGGGACCGTGAGGGTCAGCGGGGCCGGAGCTGACCGGACAGGACCGAGCTGCCAGCGGCATCGACACTTTCCGCTGCCTGGAGAGCTCCGCCCAGCCCGGCCGGGTCACTGCCCGGGATCCGGGAGCAGCCACCGCCGGTAACGTGTGCCAGGAAAGCTCCCCCATAATGTCCGGTCCAACATGATCACAGCATGGCTGGGGCTGCAAAAGCCCTCCCAGACCATCCAGTCCCAGCTGTGCCCGATGTGCCCTGGCCGCCAGCCCAGAGCTCTGAGTGCCACCTCCAGCCCTTCCCTGGTCACTTCCCGGGATGGGCACTCCAAGCCTCCCTGGGCAGCGCTATCAGTATCCAGTCACCGTCCTGTGAATAAAACTTTCCTGGTGTTTGTGCCCTTGTCCTGACTCTGCCCTCTGGCAGTGGAAGCCATTCCCTGTGTCCTGTCCTTTGTCCCAGTCCCTCTCCAGCTCTCCCGGAGCCCCTCAGTGGTGGATGGGCACTGAAATCCCACTGAAATCAGGCATTTTGAGACAGTCCTGTGTGAGCAGGAAATGAGTGGGATTGTCCTACGTGGGAATTTCATTCAACTCTCTCCCAAGCTCTCCAGCGGCAGTGGGGGTCTCTGGTGGTCTGTCAGGAGCCATTTCCCAGCTGGGTTTGAAAGGACAGACTCAAAGTCTGGGCAGGTGGAGAACATGAGATGGACCTCCCCATGGACACCTTTAGATGTGGGTGTCAGTCCTGCATGGCTTCCTGATCCATGAAATCCTCCATGGCTCCCTGATACATTAGATTCTCCATACTTCCTGATCCTCAAAATCCTCTATGGCTCCCTGATCCCTGACATCCTCCATACTTCTTGATTCCTGACATCCTCCATGGCTTCCTGATCGCTGAAATCCTCCATGGCTCCCTGATCCCTGAAATCTTCCATGGCTTCCCAGTCCCTGCCATCCTGCATTTCTCCCTGATCCCTGAAATCCTGCATAGCTTCCTGATCCCTGAAATCCTGTATCACTTCCATTGAATCCTCCATGGCTTCCCATTCCCTGCCATCCTCCCTGGCTTTCCTCCAGGTGCCCTGAGGGAGGGAGGACCTCTGCCTTCCCCTGACACAGGCACACCCTAGTCCAAAGGGAGGTGTCCTTGCCCATGACAAGGGGGTTGGGGCTGGCTGGTTTTCCATCCTTTCCATCCCTGCCCATGACAAGGGAGTTGGGGTTTGCTGGTTTTTAGGGTCCCTTCCATCCCAGCCCCTGACAGGGGGGTTGGGGCTGGCTGGTTTTCCATCCCAGCCCATGCCATGACTCCCAGACTCTGTGATAAGCTCTCCCTGAGGCACTGGTTAACACTCCGTGTTTCAGCTGGGGCCAGCAAGGGCACAGGAGGAATTTCCTGTTAAAAGCAGGATTCTGAGTTATTTTGGCTCCCCTGGAGCTGCAGAGCAGGGACAGGAGCCCCGGGCCATGCAGGTTCCGGTGGCAGCCCCCCAGTCCCTCTGTCCCCATCCCAGCAGTTAAACTCTCCTGCTCAGTATCAGCAGTGGACCCAGCTGTGCACACTGCCAGCTCTGTGCCCAGCCAATAAATAACTGCACCCTCCCCGAGCAGGGAAGCTGCAGGAACCGGAAAATAAAGGTGCTTCCAGAGCATTTCCTTCTCCTGAGTTCTTTATTCTGCTCAGAGCAGCTCCGTGCCCGGTATCCAGCAGAACATCTCCCAAAAGGCAGTGTCTGCACGGGCTCTGCAGTGACTGGGGGGTTGTTTTTCAGCACCAGATAAATGGGAATGCTCCAATACAGCAAGGCAAACATTCCTTAAAATAATTAAGATGCTGACAAGAAAATGCAGCTTGATATTCGGAGCCATCCCCTGTTGCAAATGCAATTAAATGTGTTGGGCTCAGCCCGTCCCAGCGCTTGTTTCTGCACATCCCCAAACCCCTGGGAGCAGGGAGCAGCAGCCGTGGGGTGCCTGCCTGGGGGGAGCAGAGGCAGCAGGCACACAGCAAATCCCTGGAAGAGCAGCAATTCCTGCTTTATTCCCCTGGCAGCCCGAGGAGGAGCAGGCTCGGCTCCAGGGCCGGCTCTCCCTCGCCGGGAGAGAGAACAGTGCTGAGAACAGCTCCGAGAGGCACCTGGGAGGGACCTGCCAGCTCTGAAGGGCTCCTCTCGTCACAGCAGCCCCAAATTCTGTCACTGCCTTTATTTTTAGCAGAGCGATTCACAGGCAGGGAGGGGAGGGGAGGAGGGAGGCTTGGCTGAGTGTTTATCGCTCGCACATCGCACAGGAAGCTGTTCACATTTTTATTAATTGACTAACAATATCCAGAGACTTACTCAGGCTCAGATGGAAATCTGCTCAGATCCTTTCCAGTGAAATGTCACTTGACATGAAAATGGCAGAGGAATTTTTAGAAAGGCCATCGCTGGGGGAGATTCTTGGAGAGAGAAGAACTTGCCTTCCCCCGAAACTCTGTCAGCCTCAGGGGTTTAAAAGGTGACATGTAATATATTAAAATACAGGGATTGATTAATGTGCTAATTGCAGGGGAGAATATAAAATACAATCGTGACTTCAGATACCTTGGAGAAGAGGAATGTTTGAACATCAGGCCCTGGCTGGTGCCAGTGACACGTTAATTGCCAAGTTTTCAACATGAGGGTTTCTGTGCTCCAAGGTAGTTGGAAGTTCATCATTACTGGGATCTGATCAACAGGATTCATCAGCTGCTCTGGAAAACAAATCTCAGCTGCTTTAGTGCCTGTGCATTTCAGTATCTGGTACCTTAGGAACACTGACACCTGAGCGAGCCTTTCCCCTGGTTTGTGATTGCAGAAATGGATGTGGTTCCATGGCAGAGATCCAGGGAATCTCTACATCCAGCTCCCGTTAAAAATGGAGAGGAGGAGGCAAGGAGGGAGGATCAGGTGTGTCAGAGGGTGGGCAGCAGGAGCCAGCTGGCACAGCAGAGTGATGGGCAGGTGATTCCGTCAGCGAGGGGCACGAGGGTTCCCAGCAGCAGGAGGAGCTGGGCTGGCTGTGATCTGTGCCAGGGAAGCAGCTCAGATGGGGCTGCAGGACATGAAACCAGGAATTAGGAGAGGAGGCTGGTGACAGGCTGAGCTCCTGAGCACAGCGCAGGCTCAGGAGAAAAAAGGAGAAAAAGGGAATGGAAGCATGAATGGGGAGCTGTGCTCTGTGCTGGGACACATGAATGGGAGGCTGCTGAGAATGGTGGGACACAGGAATGGAGGGACACAGGAATGGGGAGCTGTGCTCTGTGCTGGGAGCAGTGGGACACAGGAATGGGGGGACACAAGAATGGGGAGCTGTGCTGGGAATGGTGGGACACATCAATGGGGTAACTGTGCTCTGTTCTGGGGGCAGTGGGACACAGGAATGGGGGACACAGGAATGGGGGGCTGTGCTCCATGCTGGGATCAGTGGGACACCAGAATGGGGAGCTGTGCTCTGTGCTGGGAGCAGTGGGACACAGGAATGGGGGGCTGTGCTGGGAACGGTGGGACACAGGGGCTGTGCTCCATGCTAGGAGCACTGGGACACAGCAGCACAGGGTATTCCAGGCTGGGAGAGCATTCCAGCCAAGCTGGGAGCTGATCCTGCTCCTGGCTGCCTGCAGCAGCAGCAGCAGCAGCAAAGTGCCCTGATCAGTGCAATCCAGAGGCTGCAGGCTTTATTGGCTGATTTCATCTCAATCAGATTGAGGGATAAACGGGATCTGGGCTCAGCCGAGGTTTCTGAGCTGAAAAGAGCAAATCAGGATTAAACCAGGAAAACAGATTAATGGGATAGACTGATGTGAGGGACCTGGGCTCAGCAGCCCTCCAGCAGGGCTCACACTGGGGTACTGAAGGGGCAATGGCAGCTGCCTCACAGTCCATAGCAGGGGATACGATCATGGAAAGGTTTGGGGTAAAAAACACCTTAAAAACCACCCAGTGCCACCCTGCCATGGCAGGGACACCTCCCACTGTCCCAGGTGGATCCAAGCCCTGTCCAGCCTGGCCTTGGGCACTGCCAGGGATGCACGGGCAGCCCCAGCTGCTCTGGGCACCTGTGCCTGTGTCTCTGTGCCATGGGGAAAGTGACACAGGAAGGTGCAGCCTGTGAGGGGACACAGCTCCTTCCAGTGAGCCCAGAAGTGCCCAGGAAAATCCCCCACCTGCTTTAGGTACTCTGGTAAGATGCCCAAAATGAGGGTAACTACACCCAGCTCTTGGGAACCTGGATCTACAGAAAGCTTGGGATTCCTCCCTGTGAATGGTGCTGAGTTGTTTAAAATTTTATTCCTTGCGCAGTGATGAGAGCCCTGCATTGGCAAGGGCTGCACCTGGGGGGAAAACACCCTCCAGGAGGGGCTGGGGATGAGCAGAGCCTCAGAGAGGGAGCAGGAGGGCACATCCCCAGTGAAGCTTCACCCTGAGGGGCTGGGGATAAGCAGGGACACTAAAAGAGGGAGCAGGAGGGCACATCCCAAATGAAGTTCACCCTGAGGACCAGCAGGCTCCGGGTGCAGTCTGGGGTCTGGAAGTGCCAGCTGGGATGCGAGAAGGAGCTCCAGAGCCCTCCTGGGTACTGCTGAGCCCCAATTCCAGACTAAAGGGGAGCACTGGAGCTCCTCCAGTGACCCAGCATGGGATGGGAGCTGCTCTGAAACATCCTGGCCTGACACCCAGCCCTGCCAGTGCCACGGGCACAG